CCTGCCACTCCTGGTATCGACGTCATCGAAAATTATATCGGCTCGGTCGTCGCCCGGGATACCAAGGGCCGCGCACGCTCTCGGAGGAGGGAGGAGGAGAGACATACAGTGAACTCGGCGATCAAAACCGCCTCGTCACCATCCGAGAGCATAGTAGCACAACGACGGTCGACGAACATCAACTGAACGACCACCATACCAGTCACCAGCGGAGTCGCTACCCGTTCAGAATGAAGGAGGCGGACAGCGCCATCCCATTATAGCACGTCATTATTACCATAAGGTGATACGAGCGCCACACCGACAGTGGGAGCTTACAGTCGGAAATTGGAATATATCCTCACTCAGAGGGAAACAGCAAAAGTTAATGGACGAGGCCATGAAGCACCAACTCGACATTGCTGGACTCTCGTCAACGAAGCGCCAAGACTCTGGAATCCTGAACCTCTGCGGGAGGCAGCAATTCTGTTCAGGTGTCCATATCACGACGCACGCTCAAGCCCGTGTTGGTATTCTGGCAGAATTCAACCTCGCAGATAGAATCACTGATTGGAAATCTATCAGCGGAACGGTGATAATCTTGCGACTGAAGCTACAACAGGCTAAAGCGTTGACTTTGGTACAGATCTATGCGACGTGGGAGAATATGATACCTTCCTCGACGAAGTGCAGTGTGCTCTGTACGAAGTGCGGAATACAGAGTCCCTCATACTGATGGACGATTTTAATGCACATGTCGGAGTAGACGCTGAAAAGTGGAACGACGTGATTAGAAAGAACGGCCCTAGCGACCTCAACAATAACGGCAAGAAGTTGTTGCGGTTTTGTGTAAACAACGGATTGTCTATTATGAACACCTTCTTCAAGCACCGAAAAGTGCATCGGTACATCTGGTACCGGGAAGCTTGTGCACAGAAGTCGATGATCGATTTGATAATCGTATCGTCTGATCTAAGACGCTCAGTAATGGATGTTCGTGTTAGAAGAGGTGCAGAGCTATCAGCCGATCACCACCTTGTTGTAGGCACGCTGCACAATAAGAAATGGAGTACCATACGAAGATATGGTCCAATAAGCAACCGGAAAATCAAATGGGAAACATTATCTTTAGTGGACACGAGAGCGAAATTTGCAAACAACATCGCACGACGATTTGAACAGATTCCGGTGATGACAACTGATATTGAAACCGAGTGGCAGTTTTTTAACAGCGGCATACTCAAGATGCCGCCGAATGCTCAGGGTTTAAACGGGTTGGCCGGCCGCATGTAGGTCAGGTATGATTTTCATGATGGACGCAAAAGGCACAACTGGCAGTAAAAGAGGAAAAAGCGGCGTTCAAGAAATGACTTGCAAACAAAGAGCCTTCTATTCCCGTGCGATACGTCGAGGTACGCAATTCGGCAGCGAAAGCCAAAAATGATTCTTGGGAGAAATTCGGTGAGGTGCTGGAGTCGAATTTCCACACGACAAACAAAGTATTCTGACAGACCATCCGCCGGCTCCAAGGCGAAAAGAAGGGCAGTCTCAGAGTCTTGAAGGACAAGTCTGGACACCATCTTACCAAGGATGATGACATTCTTCGACGATGGAGGGAGTACATTGAGGAATTTCTTAACCTGGAGCCACCGCAGGAAGACTCGCCTGCAAAGCAGCGGGGAACAAATATTATTATCTCTGTAGATGAAATTACACATAAGCTGTGAAATGCTGGAAAAATGGAAAGGCAGAAATTGATGAAATCTGCCCTGAAAATTTCAAGGCATTAGGCGATCAAGGCATGTGCCGGCTAATATGTGTCTGTCAAACTGCGATGACTACGGGAAAGACACCAACGGACTGTACAATTGGAATTGTTGTACCTCTATTCAAGAAGGGAGACCACAAGGAGTGCTCGAATTATAGGAGCATTACGTTATTGAGTGTGCCAGGTGAAGTCTACGCAAAGGTGGTAAAAAAGATTTGCCGCGGAATTATTGACTACAAGATACAAGAAGAGTAGTGTAGCTTCCGGCCGGGCAAAAGCACCTCTGACCATGTATTTGCCCTGTGTCAGATTGTTGAGAAATCGTGGGATTACGCTCGTCCTGTTTACATGTTTTGTTGACTTCGAAAAGCCTATGACCGGATCCCACGTAACAGTCTGTTGTAATGCCTTCGAGCATACAGGATAGATGGCGAGCTGCCGCGGGACATCCAGTGTCTACATTTTGATAGCAGGTGCTGCGTCCAAGCAAATGGCGTAAAGTCGAAACCATTCAATGTTCGCACTGGTCTCAGCCAGGGCTGCGTCCTGTCCCCTCCCCTATTTCTGTTGTACATGGATAGAATAGTCAGGAGGAATCATAGCGACGAGTCTATCGGTGTAGGAGATGTGGAGACCAGAAGGTTGCTGTTTGCAGACGAGCTTGTTTTACTGGCATCTTCTGAAACCGATCTACAGCTTTAGCCGAGTGCGACGTGGCAGTCGAGTGAGCGCATCAAAAACGAAAGACCCAGTTGTTTCTTGTTCTGCTTCCCGTTGTTCTTTCATTTAAACGGAGAAACAGTGGCGTAGGTGGAAATGTTGAAGTACCTCGAGGGTCGTGGTTACTGGTGATGGAAAATTTGAGGAAGAGATCGACCGGCGAATTGGAGTAGCCAGTAGCGTTCTGCGTGAGCTAGCCCGACCCATTGTGACTAAAGCAGAGCTCAGTCTGGAAACTAAGCTCTCACTATTCAAGTCGATCTTTATCCCCGTACTTACCTGCGGTCATGAATCGTGGACCATTACTGAAAAACTTCGTACCCGGGTACAAGCTGCCGAGATGGGCTTTCTTAGACGAGTCGCTGGCCTCACGCATCTCGACATGTTCCGCAATAA